AATGACTTCTTTATTATTTTTAGGGGCATGCTAAATACTTAAGAGCTCATAAAATGATCAAACAAAACAAATTAAATTAACCATATATTTTAATTCATTTGCGTGACAAATGTAATAGAACACACTAAAGCGGTTTTTCGTTTTGATTCGTTCTAAATTTTAACCCTGTGATTGGAAATTATCCTATCAAAATTAGGGAGAGAGAAAAGGGTGTAATGTCCACTCAACACAAACTAGGTCATTTTGGGACTAATTCATATCGTTAAATGTTATTTCAATAATTCACTTGAGCATAGGGGTCTTTAGCAGTGGGAGAGGGAAATGGGGTTTCGTCCACTCGACACAAACTAGGTCATTTCGGGACTAACACATGGTTCAATTTTATTTCAATAATTAACTTGCGCGTAGGGTCTTTAGCAGTGGGAGGAAACCGAGGACCCGAAGAAAACCTACGAGGTTGGACAGGCGATCCTACTTCTTGTCACATACAACCGGGGAATCAAAACCACGCCAGTTGAGTCAATGACAGACCTTATGATACAAAACACACACGCTAACCATCCAGTCATCCAACCCCGCTATAGAAATGAAGTGAATGTCTCATTGTAGGTATATTGTTGGCTTACACGAATTTGTTTTGATCAAAAGGATACTAGGGAATATAGCTACAGCGACTGTCATGGCAATTATACGATAATTTCTAAATATGCCCCATTCATTTCATATAAAACAAATTATTCCGTAGTTCAAGTAATGGTGTGTCATTTGCATTTTTCACTAAAATATCAAATTTCTCACGGCATAAATTATTTAAAGGACAATATTGGTGCCAGTCATTATCAGATATGTGATAGAGCTGGTTAAACACATTCCAAATATAATTTTTATCTCAGAGATCATTGCTACGATAGCTGAGTAATACAGTTTTTCTGAATCGGAAGTGACGAACGCCAAAGGAAAACACGAGTCGCCTCTCTGAAGAGCTGACTGATGTGACGAATGATAACAGATATACGGGCAAATTTCTGCTCACTAATAATTCCTTCGAAGACCAAAAGTTGTTGTGTGAGACTGTGAGAGGATATCTGACAATTCATAAAAAGAATTGACTGTCACTAGATAAGTGAACACGAAAGAAAAACAGAAAAAGTCCGTGCATTACCATGTTTTTATAAGGTATAGAATGAATATAAACAAGGGAATGTACGGACTATTTCTATTTTTCTCGTGTTCTCTTATCTAATGACATTCAATTACTTTATTGAATTGTCAGGTATCCTCCTACAGTCCCATATAACAACTTTTGGTCTCCGAAGGAATTATTAGTGAGCAGAAATTCGGCCATGTATCTGTTATCACTCGTCACATCAGTCAGTTATATAGAGAGGTGACTCATGTTTTCCTTTGGCTTTCGTCACTTCCGATTCAGAAAAACTGTATTACTCAGCTATCGTAGCAATGATCTCTGAGATAAAATTATATTTGAAATGTGTTTAACCAGCTCTATCACATATGTGATAATTACTGGCACCAATATTGTCCTTTAACTTTTAATATAGAAGACAAAATCAAAATATCAACACAAGATAATGTCCCGGCTTGGATACAATCGGATTTAAAACAGGCCTTTCAATAATAATAATAATAATAATAATGGACATTTATAGAGCGCCAACATCCAGCTAGATTAGCTGCTCTGGTGCTCTGTTACAACAACAACTAAGAAAACAACTGCGCGTAGGGGTCTTTAGCAGTGGGAGGAAACCGGAGGACCCGGAGAAAACCCACGAAGTTGGACAGGCGACCCTACTCCTTGCCACATACAACCGGGGATTCGAAAAAATTTTGGATTGATATTCCTATTAGAGATGCATCTTTCACAATACACAATATGGTAGTTTGCAAGTGATTCATATAGCGCTAAAATGAAGCATCAAGACGTGAATAATTGTTTTATTTTATTAGGGCATTAAGGAATCAGGCATTAATGAGTACACACCCCGGCTACATATATTAGCAAACACATTAAGTACATGTAATTTTGTTCTTTAAATTTTTGAAACAATCATTAAATTTACTAACCTTATAGTAAGGTTAATATAGACAGTATTGCTAATAAATAAAATTCTAAATGTTTATGTAATCTGTTAGAGCTATAGTGCTAGTCTACCAAAGTAAAGATGAAGACTAGAGGGTAAAAATAGATTTATTTGGGTTAAAATCACATTTCCTGTTTAGAACATTTACTAATTGTTAAATCCCCGTTTAGTAGGTATTGACACTCTATGATGACATATCGTTCGCGAAAAGCCAGACGAGTGCATGTATTCTTGGTAATACCATTTACATAAATTTGTAAGAGAAGACCCCATATATATACATGTATATATTATAGAACCGAGCCTTGTAATACTCTTGAGATATATCTATTCTTCAAACTATATTACTTTACAAAGTATCCCCACTACTTAACCTTGTCAAGTGTTTGTATCTTCATTCAGGACATGATCGTCATGATGGAGAAGTTATAAGCCTCCTCATTAAAATTACAAATGAACAGAATTGGCTTCTAATAGGAAGGATTAAAAAAAAAACATTTAACCCTGACCCACATTGTTAATAGACTATTTTATTCCACTTCAAAACCTAAAGGTCTAGAACTATTTACTGAATTTCTAAATGAATTCTTGGTATTGGTTTAATCTCCAATGGACCACAAATTATTGAATAGAAACCAGTGCATTTGTTTGTGATGCCCCTGCCAGATCTTTAGTCCAGAATATAAAGTGCCACGCTGGATATTCCCGTGAGCGTTGATTAACGAAGATCAATATCATATGCACCCCTTTAGCCCATTGGAGAGAGAGAAATGGGGTTTAACATCCACTCAACACAAACTAGGTCATTTCGGAACATTGTTCAATTTTATTTCATTAATTCACTTGCAGTGGGAGGAAACCGGAGGACCCAGAGAAAACCCACAAAGTTGGACAGGTGACCCTATCCTCATCACGTACAAGCAGGGAATCAAAACCACGGCACTTCACTCAATGACAGACCTTATGATCCAACGTGCACGCGTTAACCATTCAGCCACCACCGCTGGCATGAATTGGTATATTATATATACGAATCCTGTCTTTATTTGGTAACTTGCAAAACTTTTTATTGTTGTCTGTTAGCATTTATATTTTTCTGTGCCAGGCCCTCCATTATGCATCACCTACAGCCAACACTGGGATCAAACATGGAACCTCATGGTTAATGAGCCAGTGCCTTACTTACAGAGCCACCTTATTACAGATACTTTTAAACTAAAACATTGTGACTTATGTATTGCAGTTACCCCTCTTTGTCCACTACCCCCCAACGCCTTACAGAGACCAAACAACACAGGTAAACTTGATAAAAAATCAACATTCACTGCCTCAGGACTTACCTGGGGCCCAGTTTGGACTACAATGTTCAATGGAGATCGATTTGACCAGTTGCCACCAATTATTGTTACTATGAATTTACTTTTAGGCAATTTTTTTAATATAATTTTTTCGATATGACCTAGCAGATAAACTGCCTTTGGGAGATCATGTTCCGCATAAAAGCTGTATGAAAATATGTAAAAAACAAGGTAACTTCATAAATGGTGATCTAATCTGGCAAACACTACTTTGTCGCCCCTTCAAAGTCATTTACAAGAGCCTATGGTATGCACTAAACCTTATACAGTGGTATTTATTTGTTCATGTATGTTTGAGGGTGGTGATAGGTGTTCCATAATATATAAACAAAACTTATTAGCCATGCATACTCCTCAAATGAAAAGTGGTGTTTGGGGTGCTAGAAATAATTGTAGTATCAGGTGTGTGTTCAGAAATAATGTCTCAGAGCTTCCGATTTTAAGTCAAACTTTAAAAAAGAGTTGGATACTGTCTTGTCAGACTAAAGGATCTCAAAGGTTTGTAGCATAATGGAGATAAAGAGAGACTCATTTGCCTCGTAGATATATGGATATAAAGGAGGTTTGTGTGCCCTGTGGCCATAAAATATATGGAAATTGAGGAGAATCGTGTGTCATATAGTTTAAACGAGATCAGTGGGATTCATCCCATGGGATTCATCCTTCTTGTAACTTTATGGAGATCAGTGAGATTCGTGGGTAATCTTGTAACTTTAGGGCGATAATGGAGGTTCAGGTTATTGTCTTGTAGCTCTATGGGAACTAATGGGTCATGATTATATCAGAAATGTGTCGGGGAAGCTCATGTTTTTGGTAGCTTTGTGGAGATCGTGAAAGATGCATGTCCCTTGCTGCTTTATGACAATTATAGTTTTAGCTTTATGGAAATCGAGGTGTTTTTTTGTGCTTGTCACTTCTTGGAGATTAAAGATTCATGTGTCTTAACTTTATGCATATCTGTGATTTCTTGAGATTGAAGAGGTTCATGTGCCTTGTTGCCATGTGAAGATCACTGACATTTGTGACAGGCATACACCATACATTTGCCCGAACAGCACCACTACAGCCTACTCATATCAAATTCCAACTGCAAAGGGATCTTTTACGTGCACGCTAGTTTTTCATTCCATCCAAACAACTATACGTTATCCCTTGCCAGGCCCTCTGGTTTATTTATGTTCCTGTGTTATACAATACTGATATTCAGTTATAATAGTGTTAAACATGACATTGCCACAGGAGGACGTTCTTTTGAACTCCAAAGTGATGAACCTAGGTTTTATCCTTACTTAAGAAAACATAAGAATCTCTACGATAGTTCCCATGAAGCTGTTGACTAACCATCACTCTCAGACGCTTGTGTTCTTCAGTCAACATTCTAGACATAGGCCTACACCTTGTTCATGTGCAAATGTTCACAGATGTTTTGCTAATGTCATGTGAAGTAGATAACTATCGAACAGTTACTCACATGTCCTGCATTATTGTCTCCAGAACAGCATTTGTGTGCCTCAAACAAAGAATCAACAAAAATAGCTTGGTATATTATAAAATGTCATTTATTATTCATAAACAAATAAATGACTGTAACAAAATTAGAATAAAAACATTAATCAAATGAGCATTATACATGAGTAATAATTAAAATACATCCTCCCCCCTAACTATTACTCCTGTTGGGCTAAATTAGTGCCCCCATTTATGTCAAGAGCATCCGCAGCTGGAACCCAGCATAAGGATGACTAGCCCGGATGGTTTGTTTTCAATGCTGGGGGGGTTGGATGGCTGAATGGTTAGCACATGCGCGCTGTATCATAAAGTCTGTCATTGAGTAAAGACCCCTACGCACAAGAGAATTATGGAACCATATGTTAGTCCCGAAATGACCTAGTTTGTGTCGAGTGGACGTTAAACCCCATTTCTCTTTCTCTGTCTGTTTTCATTGCTGATCCTGTAAAATTCAGCACACCACTCTTTGACTAATGTTTGTGTCATTTTATCATAATGATACTTAATCACAGATCTGCAGGGTATTTCCGCATTAACTGTCATCATGAATTTGCTTTGGAGTAAAATTTTTGAAATGTAGATACTTAATCATAAATAATTTTCTAACAACATAAGTAGATTGGTTGAATTTGGGCAATCCGTTCATGGAGAGGCCAGAAACGTTTGAGACATCCCTCATATATATACATAAACAAGTCCATTCATTTACAAGTTGGTATGCATATAAAAAAACAGCGGCTGCCAGGCAGGATACACCCACATTTTGCAAGAGATGGATAGAGAACAAGATAAAAAGGAAAGAAGATCTTAGTGTGTAACGGTTATATATTCACACGTTTTTTTTAAATCGTATAAAAATTGTGACCTCTACAGGGACCACAAGCTAAAAACAGGATTTTTTGTACAATCAAGGGCCATAATTCAAGAAGTTAGAATCTGATATGCGCGAATATCAAGAGAAACCAAGATCTTTGGGTTATAAACATGTATTTCAAGTTTCATCAACATCGGATCAAAATTGTGACCTCTAGAGGGTCCACAACCACAACCTTGATATACCAGATGTTTACACATTTGCGTAAGAGGGGCGGACATTTTGTCCGGCAGTTTTGGCACTATTTTCACGAAATTCGAACTTAATCAACATTAGGGTGTAACAGTGATATATTCAAACATTTTTTTAAATCGGATAATAATTGTGACCTCTTAAGGGACCACAAGCGAAAAACGCAATTTTTCATACAATCAGGGACCATAATTCAGGAAGTTACGATCGGATATGCACGAATATCGAAAGGAACCAAGATCTTAAAATAAATTTTCATTTCAAGTTTCATCAAAATCGGGTGAAAATTGTGATCTCTAGCGTGTCCACAAGCTAAAAACGTGATTTTTCATACAATCAGGGGCCATAATCCATGAAGTTATGGTCCGATACATGGCAATATCGAAAGGAACCGAGATCTTTGGGAGATAGACCTATATTTCATGTTCCGTTAAAATTGGATAAAAATTGTGACCTGTAGAGTGTCCACAAACATTTTGGACGAACAGACGTCATAATACGTCCACATGAAAATGTGGGCGTTTAAAATCTCTTGACAAGTGGAAATTTGAAGAAAGTGGAAATACTAATGTTTGCAAAAATTCTTTCATATCAGACTGCTTGCATGTAATAATAAGATTGTGTTGATAAGTCTATTAACTACACCAAATTCCATTACTCTTCTACTAATGGTAAACCTGGAAAACATCAAAGAACAGATAATAAATAATTGTATAATCATTTTGAAAGTAACATGTTATACTTAAATTTCACTAACTCACTTGCATATATAGAGATCTTATGATCTACAGCTTACATTGTAGACCACTTGGCCACATTTGAAATCTTTCATCCAAGAGTACATGTCAGCTTACACAGTCAATCTATCAGATTTATTTGTACAAAAAAGCGAGCTAATGTAGTCAGAATATTGAACATACATTTTACACAGGGGTGAATTAATCATTAAGTGTCTGCTTAGGGCATCATTGGAAGGGAGGCACCTCAGAATTTCTGCTTTGTTAGATGACAAATTCAAAATAATATCCTTGGATGACATTTGGAAGTAGTGGTATAATTTCATAATAACACAACTTTATGGATTTATTACTTCTTTCAGTTAATTACAATTCAATACTCTTACAGGTATCTTTATTAAGCAAGATATTGAGTACTGAAACGTTGCATGTAATGAACTAAGAAGTAGTAAATTCATAATACTATGTTATAATGAACTTTTAATTAGTTTTTCAGTTTTTTCTTACATAACCTTCTTTGTCTCAATATATAATTATAATAGTGTATATTAAACCTCAAAACCAGAGGCTGCCAGGCAGGATACGCCCACACTTTGCAAGAGATGGATAGAGAACAAGCTAAAAACAAACACGATTTTTTTTACAATCAAGGCAATAATTCAGAAAGTTATGGTCTGAAATGTGCAAGATATGTTTTAAAGTATTTGTCAATAAAGTATTTGTAAATAAAGTATTTGTCAGGCTGAAAATCTGAAATGTCACGCCGATAAACAGTTCAGCCTGACATGATGTTATTTCATCAGCAGTTATTTCAAGGCTTGGGTGTAACGGTGATATATTCGAACAGTTTTTTAAATCGGATAATAATTGTGACCTATACAGGGACCACAAGCGAAAAACTCTTATTTTTCGTACAATCAGGGGCCATAATTCAGGAAGTTACGATTCGATATGTACGAAAATGGACAGGATCCAAGATATTTGGGTTATAAACATGCATTTCAAGTTTCATCAAAATCAGATGAAAATTGTGACCTCCAGAGGGTCCACAACCCTGATACACAATATATTTGCGAACGAGGGGCGGCCATTTTGTTTGCCATTTCTCATTTGAGGATTTCACATAGCTAACAAACATTTGTTCTGTGTTAATATTTTGAATCCTGTTGGGGTAACAATGTATTATTGATATTACAGTATTACAAGATCTATATAGAGGGAGTGGGATGGGGCTAAGCTATAAAGGTCAGTCTGACTTGAGGAAGTGGTTCGATTTTCGAAAAACACATTGTCCATGCACTGATCCATATTAATTTGTGTTAAGTTTCAAAATGTAACTGATGACCATAGAACGATCAGCTCCAAAATATTTGGTTAGATTTTAGAAAAAAAATTTCCAAGTATGTATCTTTGTTTCTGTTTAGTTTCACTCATTTAACTGATGACCATATTATTAGCCCTGTGAAGAGATATTGGGCATGGTCTGACATAAGCAAGGCCCGGAAATTTTGGTTACATTGTCAAATATTAACTTCAGCTATGAATACTTATTTGCTTCTAGAAGTTTCAGCCTATATATATAACTTATGACCTAATTTTTAACCCTATGGGAAGTACTTTCAGGTGCTGCTGTGACTATATGACCAAGCAGTGCCCGGTCTGACCAATTGATTTTTGATTTTATAGACACCCACTACAAATTTGGGGGGTCAAACCTTTTGTAACTGATGACCATATTATTTTGTCATTAGCTCCTGGACTACAAAAGGAAAAATACAAATACAACAATTACATTGGCCATAAATAACATAAAACAAGATTTTACGTAAATAATTAAACATATAAGAAATTAAATCTTGGCCTTTGACATGTCAAACGTTGAATAATATTATATGTCTGTCTTAGAATCTGTCAAATAAGAATATTGTGACATTGTGTATGCATTTATCAGTTTTGATATATTTATAGCATTGTCCTATATATACTATTCAAAAAAAGTAGGGGATATTTGATTTTGGGGGCATAATACTAAAATATGCAAATGACTACGAAAAAAGTCACTATAGAACCTAACAGAAGAAACATTTCCAGTTACATGTGACGCCCAAACGCACCAATAGCTACCGCATGGAATGCAGGTGATGCTTGGGATCATCATGGGGGTCCAACCCAAGATTTGCACGACTCTGACTTTGAATGTTACAGTCATTGTGGCATTGAATTCCAGGGTGGAAACATCAGTTTAATTGTTTTAGTGACCAGAAAACAAATTTTGATATGCGTCGGCTTACCCAAAATGAAAGGTTACGTGCCCTTGGCATGCTACAGATCGGCACAACACAGGCGGTTGTGGCGCGGACGATGAATGTTTCTCAGTCTGTCATAAGCAGGCTATGGTCCAGATACCGTGATGCACAATCTGTACAGGACAGACCACGCTCAGGTCGACCAAGGGCGACAACTCAAGCCCAGGATCGATTTATCCGTACCTTGGCCTTGAGAAATCGTGTCATCACAGCAAATCAGATCAGCGCTCGTCTTCAAACAGACACTGGTGTGAGAGTGAGTGGCCAGACGATTCGGAATCGACTGCATAGGGGTCACCTTCGCGCCCGACGTCCTCGCGTGATCCCTTGTTTGAGAGATCATCACATTCAGGCAAGATGTCGTTGGTGTAGGGATCGTCAACACTGGGATAATCGACGCTGGAGCAATGTGATGTTTTCAGATGAGTCAAGGTTCACTGTTGATTTTTTGGACAGACGTAGGAGGGTGTGGCGTCGTCGAAAGGAGCGCTTCCAAGACGTTAACGTCATCAGACATGATCGATTTGGGGGTGGTTCTGTTATGGTGTGGGGAGGCATCACTGTTGCTGGAAGAACGGCTTTACATGTTGTTGCAGGGCGTGTTACAGGCCAGTACTACCGGGACAACATCTTGGCAGTCCATGTTGTGCCGTTCGCACGACGTCATGGCCGCCGTTTCATCTTCCAGGATGACAACGCAAGATGTCACAGGGCCAGGATCGTTACAGGTTACCTCCAACAACAGAACATCACCACATTACCTTGGCCAGCACTGAGTCCCGACCTCTCCCCCATCGAGCATGTCTGGGACATGCTTGGACAGAGGTTACGTCAACGTCAACAACGTCCTGCCAATGTCCAAGAACTTGCTGCTGTGTTGCAACAGGAATGGGACAATCTGGACCAAAATGACCTTAGACGTCTCATTAGGAGTATGCCACGTCGGATCAATGCTTGTTTGGCAAACAGAGGAGGATTTACCCGTTACTGACTTTGTTGTGATGCTGTGGTAACTTTGCTGTTTGACCCCGGGTATCATTTTACCCTTATAATGGTCAGTCTGTGCCTTACTTAGTCTAACGATCATTTGGAATAAATCGATGAATGTTTCTTCATTTTGTCATTTGTTTCTTCGTCAGTTTCATTAGGTGACTTTAATAACACTTAAAAATCAAATATCCCCTACTTTTTTTGAATAGTATATATCTTCTTTTATAAGTTTGGGTTTACCCACTTTTACCAAGACATGCGTGTCATGTGATCTTGAACAGAACTCTCCTTTTGGCCAAATAACGTAAATAGGTGACATACCTGATTTGCATATTCTCTGAACTTGTCGGCTATTTTGTGGCAGATTCAACCAAAGAGGTAAGAGATGTATTTCGCCTATTTGTAAATTATATATACTCATGTATAGCCAGCTAATGTATAGCCTAATGCATGTAATTGTATCTTACAGTTAGATCTTTACTACATTGTGAATGACTAACCGTCAAGTGTTATTACAATAAAAACCTGAGAATAATACACTACTTATCATTCCGCTATATACTCACTCAATTTTATATTTATCAGGACTTAGTTAGTCCTGCATGGCCTGTGAAAAGTTTAAATAATTACACTACACTTTGAAGATAACTGGAAAATGACTGTAACTAAATAATACTTGATGTCTTGAATAGAATATGTATATTTATCAAATTCATCAAACTCATGTGTACTCATATTAGGCTTATTCTTCCAGAACAACTAATACTACTTCATGTGGCATGCAACATGATCAAATGTTTTTGGTGACCCAATTAAACTGAGATCGGCGACGTGAAGTTAGCTTGTGGTTCATTGTTCATTGTTCGGTATTCGCGAATAACGAGCCAGTTTGTTGTTCGGTATTCACAAATCATGAACAACAAACTGGCTTGTTGTTTGTTATTTACCAGATATGGAATTAGTAATATAATCAATTCCTGGGGGGAAAAGATTCTAACAACCTGTCTTTCTACCTGAACAACGAGCAGTTTCATATTGGCGAATAAATAACAAGCAAGTTTGTTGTTCAGTATTCGCGAATAACGAACAACGAGCCAGTTTGTTGTTCATTATTCACCAGATATGGAATTAGTGATATAATAAAGGAACTGTTGTAGGGAATATGCCGGAAGTGGGTTTTTATGAGCCCAATTAGATTGTAAAGTTTTGGGAAAAAGATTCTAACAACCTCTCTTTCTACCCGAACAGCGAGCTGTCTCGTATTGGCGAATAACGAACAAGTTTGTTGTTCGGTAGTCGCGAATAACAAACGAGCTGGTTTGTTGTTCATTATTCACCAGATATGGAATCACAAATATAATAAAGGCACTTTTATAGGGAATACACCAGGAGTTGGTTTTTACTAGCCTAATTGGTTCATCTCTCTCTCTCTGTGCATGCCAAAGTATAGACCAGACCAAACCTAATATTTTTCATACCATCCTCCTAATTACAATTTGAACTCAACCTTCATTGATGTGTAACAGTGATATATTTAAACGTTTTTAATACAAATTGTGACTTCTAGTGGGTTCACAAGCTACAAATGTGGTTTTTCGAACAATGAGGGGCCATATATTTACACTATTAGCATACAAATGGCGGCATTAGTTACTAACGGTGATATATTCAAACGATCTTTTAAATTGGATAAAAAGTGGGACTTCAAGTTAAAAACGTTATTTTTCGTACAATCAAGGGCCATAATTCAGGAAATTACGATTCAATATACACGAAAGGAACCAAGATCCGTGGGCTATAATCATGAATTTAAAGTGACCTCTAGAGGGTCCACAACCTTGATATACCATAGTTTTACACTATTTGCTTACAAGGGTTGGCCATTTTGTTCGGCAGTTTTGGTCCAATTTTCCCAAATTTTGAACTCAACTGACATTACAGTGTGATGGTGATATATTCAAACGATTTTTTTAAATCAGATAATAATTGTGACCTCAAGCTAAAACCATGATTTTTCGTACAGTCAGAGGCCATAATTTAGGAATTTACTATCCAAAATAGAAAGGAACCAAGATCTTTGGGTTATTAACATGTATTTCAAGCTTCACCAAAATCAGATAAAAATTGTGACCTCTAAAGTGTCCACAGGCTAAAAACATGATTTTTCGAACAATCAGGGGCCATAATCCATGAAGTTATGATCCGATACATGCCAATATCGAAAGGAACCAAGATCTTTGGGAGATATACCTATAATTCAAGTTTTGTCAAAATAGCATAAAAATTGTGACCTGTGGACAGGCTGTTGTCCGCACGGACGGACAGGGCGATGGCATAATACGTCCACATGAAAATGTGGGCATATAAAAATGGAGAAGTGAGATTAAGCCTCAAACAACAAGTACGGTGGTTACAATCAATGCACACATCTTGTCAAACCTTCAAAGGCTAATATCTTCACTCAATACAAGCCAACAGTGAAGCTGATGTTCCCGCTGACATCCCAAAATAAATAGATGACACATACTAATTAACTGCATCTTAGTCCTAGCAATTAAAAGCAGAGTTATGTTCCAAAGTCTTGACCAATCAAATTGCTTATCGCTCCTTTGCCTAAGCAGAAAATTCCCATCATCGGACTTAGTTATGGTATTGATGTAATGAATCTATATTCTGAGTTGCATCACTCTCACCCTATTAGAACCAAAGTAATCGTGTTCCAAAGTCTCAACCAATCAAATTGCTTATCTCTGCTTAGTCTTAGTGGAAAATGCACATTGTCGAATACTGTCAAGGTATTCGCCTAATAAACACCTCCACCAAATTTGAAAATTCTACCTCAATTAGAAGAAGAGTTATTGTTTTCCAAAGTCTCGACCAATCAGGCTAAAGTCTCTACTTTGCCAAAGAAGAAAATGCTTATCATCGAAGTTAGTCAAGGTATTGATGTAATGAAGCTATACACAAAGTTTCACCAATCACACTCGATTAGAATCAAAGTTATCAAGCTCCAAAGTCTCGACCAATCAAATTGCTTATCGCTTTGCTTACCCTGAGCCAAAAATGCGCATTATCAAATTTAGTCAAGGTATTGATGTAATGAAACTAAACACCAAGTTTCATCACTCTCACTCAACTAGATCTAAAATGTTCATCTTCAAACTCCATCAAGGCATTCATCTAATAAACACCTACACCAAGTGTGAACATTTTAGCTCAAATGAAATGAAATGAAATGGAGTTTAACGTCCTACTGTTCTGCTCCTAACCTGGGCTAATGAAGACGGGCATACGCCATACAGTGTGCTATGAGGGAAATTTTGCCCGGACAGCGGCACTACGGCCTACTCTTATATCGAATTCCAACTGCCAAGGGATCTTTTACGTGCACGCCAATGTGTACACGGGACCATTCTAGCTCAATTAGAAGGATAGTTATTGTTTCCCAAAATGTGTGACTGACGGACGGAAGGATGGATTGACTCTTTATCTACTAATGTTTCTTTAATTGATTTGTAACCACACCCGCCAACCTCTAACTTTATTCCAAACATATTTATAAATAAAGCTTATATAATTCTTATCTTTATTTTGCGTATTGAGATGACTCATTAATAAGACAGCTGTTCATGATACAAATAAGACGACTTGATAATCCAAGCTTCTATTTTCTATTCACCCACAAGTTGACTGGAAGTCGAGACTGTGACATTGACTAGACAGACGCATATATTATAGTAGTGGGGTAAGTAAAAGATCTTACTGAATTTTGATAGTCTTGTTATGAAGTATATATGTTTCTTTACATATAATAAAACAAGATTGTTAAAGAGACATTATGCAAGAGCTAAATCTGCCTATTGCAAGTCTTTTTTCTGTATTCAAAGTATTTATGGAGAATCACCTACCAGTCTTTTTTGATATCAAAAAAATCAACAAAAGTTGATAAAGTAACAAAAAAACGAGGCTCTGCCGAGTGTTGATATTTTTTGATAACAAAAAAGACGAGTAAGAGATTTTATTTATCACCCAATCCCTTCTTATATGCTGTAGATTTCACTTTCACTGAACATTACGGCATAGTGATACATCATTATTTTCAACCATTGCAAAGTCCTTTATATTGACCTAGTGTTTCCATCAAGGTCAACTGAATAACAATAGTTCATTTTTAATAAAAAAAAATAAGAAATGAACTGTTCTTTGAAAATAAAAAAGATAGGTTGCCAGGCAATGAAACATACGCCCACAACAGCTAAATCGTCCGGGCATTCAACAACAGTTGTCGCATATTTTTATTTTTTTCGGTAATGAAACATTTGTTATACACTAAAATCTGAATAAGAGCAACAACTCATGAAGTAATTATCAGAAAACCATTAGAATTTGTTTGTTTTTATAAAGTTCTGCCACATGCTAATGTTTTGTATACAAAACTTTTAATATCATGCATGGCTCGAAATGTTCGCCTGTCTACTTGTCGCCGACAGGCGATTTTTTCGTCTGACAGGTAGCAAATAAAACTACCTGTTCAGTAAATTGACCACAATACTCACGTCCACGTCACGTACATTTAATTGTTTGTTTCTAAATGCAAGAATTAAGCACGGAAATACCGCGAAAAGCCGCCATTTGCACTGTTTACATTTCGCTCTGTCGTAGGCTACAGTTACTCACACAGTTCGGAAGTAGACAATTTTATATCAATGAATTTCACAACATCTACGCTTCATCTGCTGGACACTAGTTCATCGCATTATGGAGTATTATATCTAAATAAATTAAAACGTACCCCCAAGTCACCTGAAATAATTCTACCGTAACGACACCACAGTAAATATAGTACTAGTGGTTGGAATGGAAATGCACACGGCTCGTTGCTTGGTGTATTTAATCGTTTAAAAAATTTTAAACAATTTCCATAAATAATTAATAAACTCTATGAATAATTTATAAGACAATTTGACAAAATCAAAAAATCAGGTCGGAAAAATATTTCATATATAAATATAATTTGTAGCGTAAATATAGTCCGGATATGTGAGAAGGGAATTCCAGGTGGCGTTATCTGTCCTTCGCACGCGGTACATGTAAATGGAACCAAGCTGATTGGGCCAAAAGTCAAAGCTGATTGGGACCACATTCCAGGCTGATTGGGACCACCACTAGGTTGATTCGGACCACACGATAAAAAATACTAGAAACTGAGGTTTTGATATTGAATTAAGTTTAAAGGAGTTTTACCTAGGCTATAATGTGACTATAATTATATGCTTTTATGTAGGCCTACGCTATTTATGTTTATATTCCATTTTTTTATGTCACAGTTACTATCTTAACAGAGATTATCTCATTAATCTTATGTCAATTATCATACG